TTTTCAAAATGTAGGAGAAATATACAGAAGCAATTAAAATTAAAATAAGTAAAATAAAAACATGTATTTTGTATTTGTTCTTTCCACTAGCCTAGAACAAGACATGTTATGGAATCAAAGTAGTCCAGACTCTCAAATTTCACATGGAAAATGTTTTTTCCTGTAACGTGTTGTGTATGTGGACATGGTTTGAACACGCCATTCCAAAACCAGGGTCATTAATGTGTCCTATCTTCTGGTTGTTGTCCAACCTGAAGTGGGACCGGGCAGTAGAGATGTGTGTCTCCCCTGCAGATACAGCAGTGTCTCATGCTTCTACTGTACGACATTTGAAAGGCCAATATTTTACATTTACTCCACTACATTTATTTCAACAATCACAGTTACTAGTTACTTTGTACATATAGAAACACATGATATGCTGATACGGTATAATGCAGTGCTGTTCAACTAATCTACACAGTATTTCTAGTATCTAAGTTTGTCCAACATTGACCAACTACAAATTCTTTCTTTCTACTAAAATGCTCTTACATGTAAAAAAAACAGGATCAAACAATATCCAATTCAATATAATACTGTGAACAGATCCACTCTGCATTACGAGTACTACTTACTATACTATAAATCATATACTAAACAGAACTGTACTTTATAATTCTGTCAAGTTCTGTCGAGTCCTAGTGTTCATCACAACATGATTTATACCAGATGTTCAAACTTTTCATTATAAATATCCGAATGTGTTCCATGCAGAAGGTGGTGGAACGTGGTGTGAAATAAAGTGGAGATCAACTACTGAACTGAATCATGTGAGAGTAAATCAGCTGAGTTTATCTAAACACTGAGCTTTCTGACATCTGGACGTTGTGCTTGTGTTATAATTTCTGACCAAATATTTATTCTTCTCCTCTACAGACAATGACAGAGCTGCCCTCACTTCTTTGTTTGTTTCATTAGAAATGATTTAGGTCTGATCTCCCTATGGACGTCTACATTTCCTGTTCAAAAACTCTAAATCTTGCAGTGTACAGTGTGACATGGTCATTTGTGTGGTGCCTACACACAGTGTACCATTTTCAGAACGTTAAACTTTGCAACTTCTCAAAAACAAAGACCTCGACACATGAACTGATAATCTCATGGCTATATTTTCATTTTATCTTTTTTTTAAAGGGTTGTAAGGAATACTGAGGTCATGTGAAAGAAAAGGTTAATTTGTGAACCTTCCCCACTGAATGCACAACGCATTCTGGTAATGGAGGTTAGCCAATCTTCACAAATACCAACAATCAAATCCCACAGGCACTCCCCCCCTTAACAGATGTTTTATTAGAAACTCACTTTGTCCATCCATCCATCTTCTCCCGCTTATCCGTGGTCGGGTCGCAGAGGTAGCAGTTCTCACTTTGTGTTTGGTCATTTTTACTGTTCAGTTATGAATTCTAAAATGTTTTCTCTGTGAAATGGTAAATGCTAATTCAAACAAGGCTCTTCATCATTCGGGAACATCATTTTGTTGAAGAAACAGAAAATGATGTTCTGGAGTTAGGTCAAGTCTATTTATAAACCCCAAATCACAACCAGAGTTATCTTATCTCATTCATTTAGGGCAGGGCTCCCTTCACTTTTAAGTTAATTCACTTTCATCTAAAAGCAGTAACATTCAAACAGTAATTGTAGAACGAAATTACACAAATGGTTAGCGACCATGAGCACAAAGTGTCCTTACAAAAAAAGTGTGCTTGATTAGTTACTTAAAGACCCTTTGAAAGTGTGTTGCTTCTCTCCTAACATCAGCCATCACAGCTCTTTCTGAAAGTGTAGCCGATTTCACAACAGCTCTTTACTAACAACAGGTGTGATCTACTTTAAAGCTTGGACTTTCTCAGGAGTCTGACATGCTTTGGGGGCATTCCATGTTGCCAAATAACACTATTATGGCGCGTTTCCACTACAGCGCGGAGCACGGTTTAAGAGGGCTGTGACGTCAGCGGCTCGTCTTTGGTTGCGTTTCCACTTGGCCTAGTACCGGCCGGCGGGTCCTAATTCACAGTTTTTCTGGCCTCATAAAATCGTGGGTCTAGGGCCAGAGACAACGAGGCTGAGTCGGGCTGAATATGCTAAACTAGAGAGAGCATCGCTGGCAAGGGGGCTACAACTACAACAAGATGGACATATTTGACCGTGATTTAATTGTAATACATGTTTCAAAATGATGCCGAAGTAACAACATACTGATAACGGTTAGTAAAAACCATGAATTAATGCTTTGACAAGTCTGCAGACAGACGGTAGGCGAAAAACCTTTTAAAATGCGTGTTTTCTAAATGGAGATTGGCTAAGCTAACGCAGTATATGCTCCGACCGTCCACACTCACAACAACGGCCTATACAGACATAAATAAAGCAGCGACTGTATTCACCATGACACAGGCAGTCTGTGGTTTGTACTTGTTTAACTTTTGTCTAGTTTCTGAACATATATGAGGAGCTGTGAGCTCGGAGTGCTAACAGCTAACGGCAGTGTTGTTTTTCTGGGGTTCTCATTGAAGATGACGTCACGGCTCCGCCTACACTGCGTTACTATAGATACTACCCCAGTTCCTAAACTGTAATGGAAATGCGCCATAAAGTGAGCCAGTCCTAACGAGGCCTAGCCATACCAAGCGGGGCCGAGCGAGGCCGTGTAGTGGAAACGCGCCATTAGTCGTAATGTCTGCAGCTCAACGCCTTTAGTCAGGGAGGAGGTGCAGTCTGGTGGTCAGCTCCTCTGCCAAAAGCAGAGGATCCAGCCTCAGAACCGTCATGGAGCTCGGAGTCACAGGGGGCGCTGCAGACTTCTTAGAACTCTATAAAACATTCTTAATCATGACAATAGATTTGATTCACTGCAGAATGTTGTCTGCTTTCTTCTTTCAGTGGAATTCAAGCAGAGGTGGATGAAGTACTCAGTTCCAGATTGTAGGAATACTGTAATCATTCAAAATGTTACTCAAGTAAAAGTAGAAAAGTATTATTATAAATATAGTTAAAGTAGCGACAGTAAAAGTAGTCATTGTGCAGATTGGTCCATTTCAGAATAATATATATGATATGTTTTAAAATGATTGATCATGAAAGTGTTCTCAAGGCTGGTAAAGGTGCAGCTAGTTTGAATGACTTTGTATACTGCAGGGTAGCTTGTGAATTTACTCCAGG